AAAAGCAATTGGCAGTTTTTTAAAAAGTTGAATATACACTTAGTAAATGACCAAGCCATTCCACTTGGAAGTATTTACCTGAGGGAAATGGAAGCATATGTTCATAAGAAGTACACAAATGTTCATAGCTGCTTAATGTGTAATAAGCAAAAATTAGAAACATCCCAAATATTCACCAACAGACAAATGGATAAACAGTGTTGTATCGATACAATGAAATACTACTTAGCAATAAAAAAGAACCAATAATCCATACACATAACAATATGGATGAATCTCAAAATAATTATGCTGAATGAAAGAAGCCAGACAAAAACCAGAGTGGTTTATTGGGAACTGAGGATAGAGGATTACAAGAGGGCATGAGGAAACTTTAGGGAGCAATGGATGGGTCCATTCTCTTGATTATGGTCATGGTTTTATGAGTGTATGCATATATCAAAACATATCAAACCGTGTACTTTAAAAACATACAGTTCACTGTATGTCAATTATACTTCAATAAAAAGTGTTTTAAAAAACCAACCAAATACAGTATTTTAGGAAAACAAACGTAGTGAAACCATAAGGTAGGAAATGATAATACAAAATTAATGACAGTGGTTGCCTATGAAAGGTAGCGTAAGGATGTGACTGAAGAGGGGCATACAGACAGCTTCAACCTTATTGAGAAATGTTCTGTACTCAAGTTGGGCGGTAGGTCTTGCTTACATTTACTCAGTAGGCTTTTTAACTTATACACAAGTTTATATACAGCTTTTGCATGTATTATGACTTAAAAACAAAAATCCTTATAAACTAAATACTCTTTCTGCATGTGAACTAACTTTGTCATATATTTTTCCTACAAATAATGGTCTGCATATGGTCAAAACTTTACTTCCACCTGTGAAAATTTATTCTTAAACAGGTATTAAAGACAAAGATAATCACTATATTACAGATTACATGTTACACTAAACTTATATAAGAGCCAGTATACAGTCTTGGCTCTTCCTGATAACTGCTGCCATTTAGAGTCTTGAAAATGTCTAGTTTGATGCTGAAGGTACAGCCTCCAGGTCAGATCCTTCAGGGTCTTTTAAACTATGTTTAGGATTTCAGATTTTATCCAAAGAGCAATGGGAAACTACTAAAAGGTGTTTTGTTGTTGTTGTTGATACAGAGTCTCACTTTGTCTCACTGGCTAGACTGCAGTGGCATCAACTCCTGGGCTCAAGCGATCTTCCTGCTTCAGTTTCCCCAGTAGCCAGGATTACAGGCCTGCGCCACTACGCCCAGCTGATTTTTTCTATCTTTAGTAGAGACAAGGTCTCGCTCTTGCTCAGGCTGGTCTCAAACTCCTGAAATCAAGGGATCCTTCCACCTCGACCTCCCAGGGTGCTAGGATTACAGGTGAGCCACTGTGCCCAGCCTACCAACAGGTTTTACACACAGGCATGACATGAACACACAGGTGTCTTAAAGGATACTTTTTTTAAAAGATGGTTTGGAATCAAAAGTACTTGTAGGAAGGCCAGTTAAAACCTTACCGTAGTAGTTCAGGCAAGAGATGACTGTGAGTTGACTAAAGGGTGGCAGAAGGGATAGAAAGAAACTTAAGAAATATTTAGGTGATGGAATCAACAGGACGTAATGATTTATTGGACATCAGGGTAAGAGACAAGTGAAAAATGACTCCTAGCTTTCTGTTTCAGCAGCTGGCTGGTGGTGCCAGTTACTGAGATAAAGAAGGCTGGAGGAGAAAGAAGTTTGGTAAGGGAACATGATGAGTTTGGGACACAGAGTTTGAGGTGCCTGTGAAATATTAAGGGAAGGTGTCTAACAGGCAGTGTACAGCACAGAAGAGTATTTTGGAATCATTTATATTAAGATGGAGTTGAAACCCTAGAAGTAGAAGAGCAGCTTAAGGAAAGAGTAAGAGGAAAAAGACTGAGAACTTCACTATTCCAGTGGTTAGGTGGAGGGAGAGGAGAGAGCAAAGCAAACTTTTGGCTTTTGATAAAATACTGGTTTCAACTTCTACTTATATCCCTCAAAATAAAAATTAAATTATTTATAAAGGGAATGAAGAAGGACTGATAAGAAAAGACAAATCCAAACAATAATTTAAGTTTAAGATTGATATCCCAATGAAAAGGTAAATTTCTCGAGAAGCTTTGAGTCTGGCACTAGAAGTAGTATGCCCAGTTCATGAAGACATTCAAATAAGTAAGAATGTGTTTCCAGTGGTATGTTGTCTTTATTCCTGTTTAATTAGACTCTAAGAATGTCTTTAAGTTCCAAAGAAATTTCTGTTGATAAGGATGACAATGACAAAGAACCAGATGCATAAATCCAATTGAGATAATGATAGAGTTCTGAGAACATTAAAAATGGTTTGGTTTCTTTCTTTGATTGAAATGAACTACTAGCACTCTTGACAATTAAGTTATTCCTTGGACACCAAGTCTTAGATTATCATCCTACAAACTAGTAAGGACAGTCTTGTAATAGCTGTGTCAAGAACATCTTATCTCCGACACTGAAAAGCCTTCTTTGACATCTCATCTTAGAGATGAGAACTACATTAAAAAACAGGATGTAAACCCAAAGACATTATCAGGGCAGTTTTACATGTTAACAGGGTAGCCCCTATAGAGTAAATCTTAAAATTCAAAAGTTCACAATTAACCGGTTTCAAATGGG